CTTACATATACATATATAATTTGTTAGTTAAATAAATTTAATAGTAAATTATAATTTCAAAAAATAAAAAAAATTAAGGATATACAATGTTTATTCAAATTAAAAACATATAAATACATAACTTAAGCTAATAAAAAAATATAATACTCATTTATATTATAAAAATAATTTTATTATATTAAAAATGTATACAAAATTTAGAAAAATATTTCGCAGCGTAGCGCGGGTAAATACCTAGTGTACATAATAAATAAGTCAAACCCATGAGATAGGGCCTCTCTGATTCATAAAATAAATCCAGCTATTTTTTGTGTGTGAACTAGTATATATATAGATCCGACCCAGTTTAGATTTGAGTTTGTCACTCGTTTATTAATTTTGACATAGTTTGGTGATATCTATACCAAATTATAAAATTTGAGAAGGTATTTATGTAGATTTTGGTATTATATATAAAATTTGGTTGGGAGAGGTAAAACTCCCAAATTTTGAGAAAAAGAGCTATAAAATTTGGGGGGGGGGGGGGGGTTATTGGGAGAGGTATTTATGTAGATTTTGAGATTCCATCATTATTGGTTTACTGATTTTTAAAATCTTACTAGATACCATTGTTATTGGTTTAAAGATTTTAAAATTCCATCTAAAACTTTTGTTATTCAAAAAGTTTGGCTTTTAAAGATTTTATGATTTTATTATAATCTTGTGTTATTGTGATATAGATTTTAAACAATTTAACTCATAGAACAAGATTTTAGATGACTTTCAAAATATTACCTATATGGCTTAGATTCTCAAATTCATTATAATAAAATATTTTCATAGGTTTTCTAAATAAGCAAACTCTTTCCAAATTTAACAAATACTTTTAACAAATTTAACAAATCTCTCAACTCTTAAAATCAATCAAAATTTTATAACTTCATCTCCCAATAACCCCCTAGAATACTTCAAAAAGTATAAAACAAAAATATTCTTAATCTGAAAATGAGATAACTGAACTGGGAGTAATATGATATATATCCATGTTTTTTATTAATTAAATGAAAACTATTTTTAATTTTTGTAAACTTTTGTTTTGTCATAGTTTGGTGATCTATAGATGGAGGGTATTTGGATGAGAATCGTTCCAACTGGCAAGAGGGAATGCTTTTTGGCAAAATCACTTATTGAATGGATATATGAGAATTTGGAGGAACAGTCAGAGGTGGGAGGATGTCTCTGGTCCTCACTCTTTGCTGTAGCTATATGGTGGGCATGGAAGTGGCGGTGTGGAAATGTGTTTGGATCAACGGGTAAATGTTGAGATCGGGTGAGATTTATCAAGGATCTAGCTAAGGAGGTGGTGAACTCGCATTCGAGACTACAGGACACGACTAATCTGAGAATGCAGGAGGAGATACTTATCGCATGGAATCCACCGAGTGAGGGCTAGATAAAATTGAATACAGATGGTGCAGCACATGGTACTCCGGGGTTGGCAACTGCAGGGGGTCTCTTGCGGGATGAGAACGGTAACTGGCAAGGTGGTTTCATTCTGAATATAGGGATCTGCTCCGCTCCAGTGGCTGAGCTATGGGGTATTTACTATGGGTTGTATATCGTGTGGGAGAAGAGAGTTCCTCGTTTGGAGCTCGAAGTAGACTCAGTGATAGTGGTTAGCTTTCTGAAAGGAGGAATTGCAGACTCGCATCCTCTATCCTTTCTGGTACGTCTGTGTCACAGCTTCTTCTCAAGGGACTGGTTAGTCCGGGTTTCACATGTCTACAGAGAGGCAAATCGAGCTGCAGATGGGCTCGCGAACCATGCCTTCTCCTTACCGTTAGGTTTTCATTCGCTTGAGGAACCACCGGTGGAACTTAGTTTGATTCTCTCGGATAATGTTGTAGGGGTTACTACAGCTCGCTCTGTTCGTTCGTCATATTAGCTTGTTTTGCAATAAAATGTGGAGACTTTAGTCTCCATCCCTTTACCAAAAAAAAAATGTAGATACATTAACTCATTAAAGGAAGCGAGAACGAAAAAAAAGAAGTTTAGAAAAAACTTGCCGTAGTAGAATTTCCAACCTTTATATATCTTTTAAGCACACTTTTATCGAAGCTTTACACGCAATACATTTGTATGTGTGTTTAAGGTCTTTTAGACTAAATTTTATGTAATAACCTAATCCGCAAGTGAAATATGGATATTGTAATTTATAATTAATACTAAAAGTCTAAAATTGTATGTTGATGAACTGCTGAACAAACAACTTAAACAAATCTAACATATATTAAACAGAAAGCATAAGTGGCTTATGTGTCATTATCTCAGAATTTTGAATATTTTTAATCTTACAAAATGGTTACAAACTTAAATACTTTATTCTTGCAACCAAACACAATCTTTCTTCTAACCAAATAAAAATTTCTCTAATTATTTATTTTTAATTGCATTTAATGTTTTAAAAATCTGCAGTTAATATTTAGGTTTTTTATATATAATTTAAACAATTATATTTAATTAAATATGACAGAAAATTTAAGTGAATCTTTATTTTTTTAATGTATCTAACTATATATTAAAGAGGAGACAATGAATAACTTGCAAATTATTTTATATATAATATATATATATATATATATATATATTTGAAAAGCTATTTTAAAAAAAGATAATGCAAATTTATTATAAAAAAAAAATATTTTGATCTCTCAAAATATAGATACAAATTTTTATATATTTTCAGTTACGATTTTAGAAACTAGAAAATAAGTTAATACAAACTGAATTGGTTTTTATATAGAAAGTTTAAAAATTAAAATATATTTATTTTATTAATAATTTGGTTTTTAATTGAAAGTTTAAAAATTAAAATATATTCTAATAAATATTATTATTTGTATAACATTTTCAAAATTATTATTTGATGTATCAATTAATTATATTTAATTTTGTAATATTATAATTAAGTAATTGTTTTTTAATTAAACAATTATTATTTAACATATATTAAATATAATACATTTCGGAACTGAATACCACTAATTGATAAATCAATTAATTTTCAAAATTGAATACCATTAATTGATAACTCATCTAATTTTCAAAATTGAATACTTTTAATTGATAATAGATATTTACAGATAGAAAAAATGCATTTAGAAACAAAAATCTTGAAATAATAGTTATAAATAATTTCATATATAAACAAATCAATTTAAAAATCTCAGAACATATCTTTAACAAACCAATATATAGATTTATCAAATTTTCAAATTTCTTTAACTAACCTAAGAAGATATTCTGAAATATCTAAACAAAGCAAAAAATAATTAATTAATATCAGATTTATGAAATTTTAAATTTTGAACTAAACCTAGATTGTTTAGCACACTTTCTCTTCTCTATAAATAAAAAGTTATATCATCTACAATAGTTTCAGCTTGTATTGTTCATGGTCTATATTATTTTTATCTTTAGATATTAAAATTTCGGTTACTAATGTTAAATAATATTTTTTATAGATAAAAAGTGGCAAAGTGGTCGGATCTTGGTAGTAATATTTTATTTCTTTTTCTCCAAACATGTAATTGCTTTTGTGTTTCTTTTTATTTTATTTTTGTTAAAGGCTCTCTTTGCTTATTATAATCTTTGTTGCTTTATATTACACCATTATTTATGTATATAATATATATATATAAATCAATATAGTATTATGTACTTTGGAATTTTCTATATTTCGTATATAATTAATATTGATTAGAATTTTCTAAAATTCTTTACTGAATTAATACAAAAATAATACATTTTACATTTTAAAAATCTTATACTACAACCTAAACCAATAAAATAAAGAAGGATGGAAGTCATATTTTTAGATATTTACATAATTCTAAAGTGAATAAAACAAATATTAATTTTGAAAATGTCATCCACAATAGATATAAATATATGGTATAAAATCAATAGGGTATAGTTAAAATCATCAATATTAAATCGATATAAATTAAAATAAATTAAAATAAAATCAATTTTTTCGGTAACCTAGTAGTAGTAAAAGATAAGGACTTCGGGTAGTAAGTAATAAATGTAAAGTATATGACGACACGAACAAAATGTGAGAAGCAACGTGCGTGTCGCATTACGTATAAATATAATTTATTTGAGGGCATTTAAGTTTCTACCAAATTAATTAATTTGTGAGGTGTGTCTTTCCATTGATATACCAAAAGAAGGTTTTCTATAGGGAAACGATGAATTAATGTGATCAATTTTTAAACGATGAATTAATTTGAGGGCATTAGAAAAGAAAAAAAAATTGCGGGCATTTAAGTGTCTACCAGAAGAAGGATAATATAGAGTTTTCTAGAGGGCATTGGCGTGATCAATTTGTAACCCCACATTTAATTACATCGTTTTTATCATGTTGTTTTAGTAGATATACATCTAATTTTGCATCAGGAAAAAAAAAATCAATTTTGTGATGTTAGATTCAGAGTTAATTAAATATCTATTTTTATTTTATATGTATTTCCGACTCTGATGCAAATAGTATTTTCTGCGTTTAAAATGTTTGTCTTCAAAAAATATTTGTTTTATTCGTTTTTTAATATAAATTTTGGTATTAAATACCTAAATTATCCTCATATCTAATGAATAATACTAATAGTTAGGTTAACCTCATATTTAATGAATAATACTAATAGTTAACTTGTTTTATTAATCTACATGAAACAACCTAAAATGACAAGTATTTTAAAACGTCGGGTATACTTATTCAATTTGTTGGTGTCTTATTTAAACTGCATGCATGTACATCAAGTGAGTGTGGAATCAGGATTTGATTTGAAGTTGACTTCGAAAAGGATAGCCCAGCAGACTAAAAAATCTTCGACATAATTTAACAATCAAATATACTGTATTACAGCCCTTTATATATATATATATGTGTATACATATAAATATACTGTATTATAAACACTATAACGAGTTTTAAATATGAAGGCTAACAAGAAAGGATACGCAATGTGGCACCCCACAAACTTTATTATAAATATAAGTAGATGGGAAGGCGTGTGGTTGTTAAACGCAAAGAAAAACATTCGATTATACAAAAACAAAAGCTATAAAAATCTTTAAAAAAAAAGAAGCAAGAGAGAGAATGAAAGATGATACGAAGGAAGCAAAATGGGCACCAGTGATAGTAATGTTAATATCAAGTGTTGCAATGGGATCAGTGAATGCTCTCGTTAAGAAAGCACTTGATGTTGGTGTTAATCATATGATCTTTGCTGCCTATAGAATGGCTATTTCTGCTTTAATCTTGGTTCCGTTTGCTTACATTTGGGAGAGGTATGAACATGTTGATACTTTTGTGTCGAACCCATCGTAAATTTATTACGTTTTGTTTAAAGTAAATTCATTTAGTTATGTTCTCGTAAGAAATATGCTTATTGATTTTCATACGTCGAAATTAAAATAGCCGCAACTTTTAAATATTTCGTTATACTATAATAATAAAATGGTTTTTCGTTTTGTGTACGATTTGATCATTATATTTATATATTAAGATCTTTAATAACCCTAGATCCTTAATAGTTAGTAACCCCTTTAATTAACAAAATAAAAGCCCAGATTCTTCTTCAGCTTTTTTCACACATGATTTGATTTTCGTACGCGGTTATTTGTAATTTTAAAATATACCGTTTGCCTTAACGTATGATTGTATAATTTTATGTTAAAATCTAGACAAATATATCTTAGTTTTTCTTTTCTTATCGAGACATGACTAAAGTACTAAGTTTGTAATATCGGTGTCTTTTAATTTTATTTGTGTATAACTGAACATCATGAAACTACGTTGTATATATATATATATATATATATATCCACTCATAAGATATATGTATATATGACTCATGTTTATACTATTTATAAATTTTTATTTTGCTGTGTATATGTGAGTAAAGAATTTTGCGATTTATATGAGTTTGTTACAGGAAAACAAGACCAAGGCTAACGTTCATGCTCTTGTGCGAACATTTCATCAGCGGATTACTTGGGTTAGTCCTTTTCACATGTTCTTGATATGGCAGCAATTTCATCTCTTTTTTTCTAAAATGATTCTATCTACTTTTTAAAAGAAAAAGAAGGATAATATTGTTTTCTAACACGTTATCTGACTCTTAGTTAACAACTTACAAGTCTACACGCTCTACTTTGTTTCTTGTATATATCATTATTTTTTAATAAATAACGCAGGGCAAGTTTGATGCAATTTTTCTTTTTGCTTGGACTATCGTACACGTCAGCAACTGTTTCGATGGCTCTAAATAGCATGTTACCCGCAATTACCTTTGCGTTGGCCCTCATTTTCAGGTAATGCAACTATAATTTATTGTTTAAAACTTTCAAAATCTCAGCAAAAAAATATATCGTAATTTTAATTAAATGGAAAATGCAGAATAGAAAAAGCGCAAAACCTGCAGAGCAAAGCAGGTGTGCTCAAGTTAATAGGAACCCTAATTTGCATACTTGGAGCAATGTTCTTAACATTCTACAAAGGTCCACAAGTATCAAACCTTCATACTCATCCAGAGGCTCTTCACAACAACACATTACATAACAATGGTCACGGCCAAACAAAGAAATGGCTTCTAGGGTGTCTTTACTTGTTCACTGGGACAGTGTTATTGTCTCTTTGGATGTTGTTTCAAGGGAAATTAAGCGTTAAGTATCCTTGCAATAAGTACTCAAGTACTTGTCTCATGTCAGTCTTCGCAGCATTTCAATGTGCCCTTTTGAGTCTTTACAAGAGTAGAGAAGTCGAAGATTGGATCATCGAAGACAAATTCGTCATCTTCATCATCCTTTACGCTGTAAGTTTTTTTTTCTACTTTCATTAGTTTGGATACATAATCATATAAATGGGCAATAAGAAAAAGTCTGTAGAAACTATAGGATAGCTTGTAATTTGTACAATATTGGACAAAAGACGAAAGAGTTGGAAGTTTTATTATCTTTGATACCTCAAATGTCACCTTTATCTATTAATACCTTTTTCTAAAAGATACTTGTAATAATATATCTATATATATATATATATACTTTCACTTTAACAAAAAAAAAATCTATATTTTCTTATAAACATTTCTCTTATATTTTCCTCATGGATGTTGTATTAATACAACATCTTTCGCTGATTAACAAATTAGGTTTATAAAAGATAAATTTGATTTTTTTTTACTTACTATAAAGTAGGTGAAGTGTTATATTACCGGTTTTATTTTAACTTGTCATGGACCCTAGGCAAACCAAAGGAACAAAAAGTGGACCCTAATATATCTGAGTCTGTTTCATAAACGCAAAATTGAAGTTTTTAAATAAAGTTTATTTTATGTTATTTTTTTCACTCTGCCATAGTTATTTATATTATCTTTGTTTTAAACCCCAATCTATGTATGAGAACAACATGGTTGGTTATATAAATATGATTTGATATTTTGATGAAAAACAAAATAAAACAGGGAATTGTGGGACAAGCGATGTCGACAGTAGTGACGTCATGGTCAATAAAAATGACGGGAGCAGTCTTCGTGTCAACATTCAGCCCCGTTAGTCTCGTCTCTGCTACGTTATTCGATTTCCTCATCTTACACTCTCCTTTATACCTCGGCAGGTTTATATTTTATCCTCAAATCATGTCAATTTCATGCATTAGCATAAGAGTCTTCACTAATACTATCATATTTTTATATTTAACAAAAATGCAGCATACTTGGATCAGTAGTGACTATAACGGGTCTCTACGTGTATCTTTGGGGGAAGAAGAGTGAGACAGATCAGTCTGTTTCGAAGACTTTGACCACTTCCAAGTCTTGTCAAATGATTGAAAACGAAGAACATATCATTATCAATGATAACAATACTAAATTGCCCGTTTGATATATTATATAATTTATATTTAGAGCTCACTACAACCATATAATATTATGATGGAGATAGATATTTGCTATCATAATCGCGATAACTTTTAGCCATCAGATTATAAGTTTTTTTTTTCCTTCTGTATTTTTAAGTCTTTTAGGAGTGAGATTTGTTGGTTCGTTCCATGGAGATTCTAAGAAATGATTCATTGCAAGCTGTAACGGTACGTAACCACTTGTATCAAGTTGACTATAAAAAAAAGAAAAAAAAGAGGTTCAATAGGAAAATTAGTTCATGAAGCAAACACAACACTCAGTTTACAAATTCTTTTTGTTTGGCATTTTTAAAATGATTTTTTTTTTTTTTGCATTTTGAAGGATAATAAATAAGTTGAATCGTCGCTTAATCGTTTTGATCACGTATATAATGATTAGACACAATGTGCTTTACTTTTGAGAAAGAAAAAAAAGATATCATAAATATGAACTTTATTGTTATATTTAAGTCCTATCACCAGCTTCGCGCTATCAGTCAGTTGCCACTGCTTTTAGATAAGTTGATGCTCGCATACTCAGATCGAATCCAATAATTTCTTATATCCGCAAACGACAATGTAATTTATAATTGTTTAAAAAACGAAAAAGTTAGAAGCAAACATATACGAAAGGAATATAGCAAAATGGGTTTTTTGGTGTTACTAGTGAAAAAAATAGTTTGGTTCAATCCCAACAAACTAATTACAGCAACAGTAAAACTCCATATACTATTTCCAAAGTTTTTTTTTTTTGGTGTAAATATTAAGATTTAAACCATTTTCTGAGTTTTACATTGTTTTTTTTTTTAATGAAAGAATTTTACATTGTTGCAAGCAACTTATTACAAATAAGACAACGGAAAGAATAAGAAAAGAGAGAGAGAGCAGAAGATTACAGAGGGAGAGTAACACAAGAGAAATACAGCTCGAGAATAGAGGGAGACCTTACATTGGCAGATGGAAAGGATAGCAGGCGATCACGAAGATCCACGGCATGACGGATGGAAAATGCAGTTGCAGGTGTGTTGGTGAAGACCCGGGTATTGCGCTCCTTCCACAGCATATAGGTGATAGCTTGAACCAAAAGCCTGATTATAATATCACGAGGGCTCCGAGCCCGAGTTTGAGCAGAGCCGATCCAAGAGGCCATATCCGACAGCCTTTGCGGCCGGTTGGGGAACCCAGCTGAGAACGGAGACCAGATTTATGAGGAGAAAGGGCACTCGAAGAAGAGGTGCTCGTGAGTTTCAATACTGACTGAGCAGAAAACACATTCCGGTTGTACATTAATCCCCCACCGCCGTAAGCGATCCCTAGTAGGCAGTCTTGACAACATAGCCATCCATGTTATAAAAGAGAACCGCGGGACCGCTTCCTTAAACCAAACAACATTGTGCCAAGGGACAAGCGGAGATTGTACCCTAAGCTGCTCCCAAGTACCCTTAGAAGAGAAAGTGTTGACAAATAAGCCTGCAGCATTACGCCAACGATAGGTATCACTGCCTTTAGCTTGGTGAGGAGGAGAGATGTGGAGAACCAAATTTGCAGAGCCTGAGCCTCATCTGAGCGTGCCCCCGGTAGGCGCCACTGGCCATCCACAACAGCACGAGAGACGGGCGCTCCAATGGGAATTCAGAGCTGCCTCGGGCCAGATTGGCCCAAGAAAGAGATTAAAGGGCCTATATCGGTCCAGCTGTCATGCCAGAACGAGGCTATCTTCCCATCACCTACATCGCATCGCAAAAAATCAGCCAACAGGGGTTTTAGTCGGAGCATACCTCGGATGGAGGGAGAGAAGCGAGTAGAGTCGTCCGTCAACCAGAAACCCTTCTTGCCAAAGATATGCCTCTGCACCCACGCAACCCATAAAGATCCAGCGGAGGAGAATAAACTCCAGACTTATTTCAATCTGAAGACTGTTTCAAAATTCGCCAAAAGTCTGATTCCAAGACCACCCTCTGCTTTAGGCCTGCAAACGTCCCGCCAAGCCACGCGAGCACCCACTGCAGAACCGGTTCTGTTTTTCCAAAGGAAAGCTGAACACAGTGAGTCCACCTTTTCATAGAACCTTTTAGGCAGGGCGAATACCGCACTCCAGAAATTGACCATGCCGTAAATAACTGAAGAGATGAGCGTGGTTTTCTCGGCAAAGGATAAAGATTTTGCCGTCCACGAGTGAAGCTTGTTCGTTATCCGCTCAATAAAAGGTTGGAGAGTGGAGAAGGAGATGCGCTGCAGATTCAGAGGAAGGTCGAGGTATCTAGTAGGAAAACAGCCTACCTTGAACCCTGATAAATTGCTCAGTCTCGCTGCTTCAGTGGCTGCATAGCCTCCAAAGAAGATTTCCGATTTCGTAGGGTTCATGTCCAGCCCACTCAGTTCTCTGAAATCTTTCATAACCTCTTTAATGCCCGATAAGGAGTGGTGCGACCTGTCAGAGAAAACCAGAAGGTCATCGGCGAAGAGCAGATGAGTGATCCTCGGATTTGAACATTTTGGGTGCAGGCTAATCGTTCCTCTTCCTACTGCTGAGTCAAACATTTGGGATAGAACCTCCATGACCATCATGAATAAGTACGGAGAGATGGAATCCCCTTGTTTCAGCCCTTTTTTCCCAGGGAAAACCCCCGCTAATTCTCCATTTATAGCGATCGAAAAGCTGGGCGAGGAAATGCATTCTTTAATCCAGCCTCTGAAGATTAGCGGGAACTCTTGAGCTTCCAGAATTTTTAACACGAAGTCCCAGCAGACCGTATCAAAAGCTTTCCTAATATCCACTTTCAGCATGCAGCTCTTAGCGCAAGAGGCTTTATTGTAGTCTTTGATTAGCTTAGAAGAGAAGAAGACATTCTCACTGAGACTGCGCCCCTTGAGAAAGGCTGCTTGGTTTGAGCTGATGCAGGTTTGGAGAACCGGCTTCAAGCGGTTGACAATTATCTTTGATATAACTTTATAGACAATATTGCAACAGCTTATTGGCCTATAATCCTCTAATTTACAAGTACCTAACGACTTCGGTACGAGGGTAATTACCGTTGTGTTCAAATCCTTTAGTACGAAATACGTCGAAGTTGGAAATTGGAGCTCAAGATGACAATATGTTAATGTTTTAAGTAATATTTAATAACAAAGATTGATACGAAGTAACAAAGTATTAAGATATTAATGGATTTAATTGTTGCAATGTCAATGATTTCTAATAGTGTTCATAGCTCGCTTGATGTCATATTACCCACACATTCTGACATTCATATTCGAATATAATATTTTTTTTCAAAAAGTAAATGTTTTTATTTAATTTTTTGAAGAAGAATTTCATAGAAAATATAGAGAAGACAAGGAAATAAAACAATAAAGCGCGTTTAGAAAATAAATCTTACGATAGAAAATGTTTTAGTTTCATGTCTTATTTTATTTATTAAAGCGTCTAATTGGTAACGATAAATGGTACAAAAATTTAGCAATAAGCTATATTTTTTAGTGGTAAGCTGTAGTGGTAAATGATTATAAAATAACTGAAAACTGTAAAAAAAAAAGGTTGTAAGCAAAACGGACAAAAAAAAGCTGAGTGTAATATTATTAGTAACGCTTTGCATACTACTTTTGTGATTGGTAACTATTAAAACAGTATAAATTGTATCATAAATTTACGATAATGTTTTGCGACCGAATCTTATAATTCTTAAGAGAGAGAACCTGCAATATCTTAACATAATAATGAAAATTATATTGATACAATTTTGTACTTGGATGAATCTTACATTGACATACAATTAATGTAAATGATCAATAGATATCCAACACAGTAAACTAAAACGGCTAGTAGCACCCTTTTCATGATTTTACCTATCCATGTTTGTGGAGTATATATATACAGGAGGAACTGATTGTATCAGCAAAGGCATAACCTTCTCAACCAAATTTGTATGGTGCCTAACCTATGGTCTCATTGTTTACTCTGTTCACCCCTTTCATTGGAAGAAAAGAGTTTAATTATGTGTATTTGATTTATTAATTGGATTTTTTAGGGCTATTTTACTAAACTCGGGTCTTAAATTAGCGAAAGCCCAATGTATTTGGGAGAGGTATGAACATTAGCGGAAGCCCAACGCTCAAGGTATTTGAGTTTTCTTCTTTCGCTTTGTTTTACAATTTTTCTTAAGTCACACCGACACCTCCTCTCGTTACACTGAATTGCTTCCAGTTCCACAGGGCGGATCCAAGTTGTGGACATTGGGGTACGTGCCCCATATTTTTTTTTTTTGTCGTCGGATTGATTAAGCCCAAGTGTCCCATACTTAACGATGAATACAAATGTAGAGCTAACAAATAAAATTCATTTAGTTTAATTAGTTTCATAGTTAGTTCTGTTTTTAGATAACCAAAGTTGTCCTTTCATTGGTCCTTTTTGTCTTTTTTTTTTTAAAACAAACATTATTTTATTAAAATTTGAGTTAATGCTTTCGAAGATAAAACAAAATTTAAAAAACTTTATAATATGTTAACATCAGTGTGATATATGTTAACTAATCAAATATATTTAAAATTTTAATATTATGCTTCATATATAGTATATAATCATATTTGGAGTTAAAGGCGAGTTATGAAGAATTCATTGTATATAATCAGGATTAAAAAAAAACACTTTAGAACATTACAAAATAGTAACTTTTTCCCCCTTGAGTTTTACGAGCTCTATGCTTTATAAACCCATTTATGGACATCAAAGGTGAAGAGAGGGAATATTTGGATAATCATGATATATAATGCATGTAAATTGTTAGATTTTATTTATGTTTTCCGTAATATATCCAACCCCGTATGATTCTATTAAAATAGAATAATTTAATAATGGATCATATATATTGTAAAGTCATTCTAAATGCTGTATACTATCTTTTTGACCAAAAGAAAAAAAAATGCTGTATAATTTAGTGTAAATGGACATAAAATACGAGAAAATATTTTGTGTTGATTTGTAAAGCCAATCGAAAACTTTTATAAAAATTTAAGAGCGATATATTGATCGTCGGACAAGGATGGAGTTCACTGACCACAGACAATATAATCGAGACATCAACTTGTTTGGATCAATTAAGTATACGACTAAAGTTATTATTACTGGAAATTTTTTTTTATAAATTATATTCTTTATTTGGTCCTTGACTTGTAGAATAAAAATCACTTTGCTTGAAATTTATTGGAAGGTTTGTGGTATTTTTTTGAGGTGCAAGATTTGTCTTTTGTCCACTTTTTATGATTAAAGAATATATATGTTTTTTTAATATATAACCATGGGGCAAAAAGGCTATAAACCCAAGTAGAGTTTTATCACGAACCGAACCAAATGTACTCAAACACATTTTATAAAGCTGCCGATCGGTTCACTACTATTAACCTATCACAAACCAAAAACTGAAAATTCCAGTTTGATTCAGTTCAGAAAGTTCTGTTCGGTTAAAATTCGCAGGGCTAAACCATACGGTCACCCAAAAGATATGTAAATGAGCTTATCTTTAACTGACTTGTCCACCAGAGCTATGTGACTCTGGTTAGAAAAGGTATACACGAGTTTCCCGAGGATGGTTATTTAGACCATCTACATTGGGAGTTTTTCACCAGAGTCTCTCAACAATAAAAATAAAATAAAATAATAAATATTAATATTTTAGTGTATGAGTCTCTCAAAAAAGTGAAGAAAATCTCTCATATGAGAGACTTTGAAAAAGTTTGAGAGAATTTCTCAACTATTTCAAAAAAATTATTATAAAAAATATTGATATATATTATTTTATAATTTTTTTTATTGATGAGAGACACCAATACAGATGCTCTTAAGAGACATCTTTTGAAATCACCGTTACACCAAGTCGCCATATGTGAGCACGTTGACTGTTGAGAGACGGCCTTTACAAGCCAACTAAGTTAAGAATGTAAGCTTTGGGGTTGCATGCTTAACCAAACAACAGTGTACCAATCGAATATGTGCCAAGTTAGTTTGGAGAAGAATTTAGGAGTGAGTTTGTCTGTTTGTGTGGTCCATGGAACCATACGTATATGAAATTGAAAATTGGCGTTGGCTTTTTTTTTTTGCTAAATAAAGAAATCGACGTTGCTTTTTTTACTAAAAAAAGAAGATGCGTTTAATTTTTTTATGTATACACAAACAAGTAATGATGATATATATAGGCTTGTGTTTCTGCATGCTACGTGATTGCTGCTATTTAGAGGAACGGGGAGCAAAGCTAGCCGTAAAAAATATATATATCCATGATTGGTGAGAGTAAATATTCTACTCGTTATATTTTAGATCATATGTCTTTTGATGAATACATTAAAATGTGGAAAATTTATTTCTATCTTGTATTGTCTTCTTAAAATTATTTAAATACTATTTTCGTATTTAGAAAAATGCGATTTTTTACATAACTAAGAAATACTTAATTAATTTGTGTACCCTTTTAATTCACGTTTTATTTTTAAATCGCTTCCGCATTGAAATATATAGTTACTAATCTCTTAGATTTGTTAATTTCATTGATCTCACAAGCATGCAATCCCAATCTTTGTATTCCGAACAATTCTTTTTTTTAATTTGTTATTTTGCCGGTATTGTCGTTATATTTATATGCAAATTGTGTTCTCCTGTAGTGGTTACGTTTTTTTTCTTTCTTTTTGGTTCAACCATTCAGTGGGTTACATAAGCCCATTATCCTCTGAAAAAAGAGAAGTCCATTATTTTTCGAAGAAATAAACTTGGCCGAATATATTTGTACCTGAAAGAAATAAAAGCTTTATCTCACTTTATCTTTTTCCTGCTTTTCCAAAAGACCGAAAAAGCCAGCATATTTCTTTAGTAAAGAATACATAAATATCTATTTTTGAAAAACAAAAAGCACGAAATTAATAAGCTAAAAATAACAATAACAAATAGGATCGTGAATTTGAGCTTTATCAACTAACTGTGATGTTATTATTTGTTTTGTTGGTAAGTCAAGACCAAGTACTGTAACGTTCAATCAGTTGAATAATGTTTGGGTAATGACGAAAAAAAAACAAAATAAATTATGAGAAACAAAAGTAAAATCTGGCACATCAACTTTTAAGCTGGACGATTGGTACAAGATCATTTGTAAATCATACACATCATAAGGAAAAATTCCACGCAGTTCTTTTTCATGTATGTAATTTCGCACACACAAAAAAAAGTATGGTATGGCAATATTACATTATTTTTATAATTATGCACATAATCTTTTTACTTGCTTCAGACCTAACATCCGATTAGAGAAGATTCATTTTCCTCACTCAACCCATATGCACAAAATCCAAAACACTTGTGCGAAATATATGTTTGTTTTTGTTAAGACCTAAAGTTTGAGTTATTAAACCCATGTTATAATCTTTGCACATATGTATGCATGTCACTATGCTAGTGAACATTACTAGAAAAACGCAAAAACAATTTAATGTTCTTTTAACCGTTCTAAAGACATTTCCAAAATATATGAAAATGCTTTTTAAAAGTACACAGTAAGGTTTGATTGATATTTTAGGTGAATAACGGAGTGACTTAATCATGAAATGGTGAAATCGGTAAAACGAGAAAATTTGTAAGATGAATAAACTAAAACTGATTTGTAAAACAGCCGATAAAAAAAGTTAGAATTTATGAGATAAATAAAGTTTTTTCTAAGATATGTCCGAAATGAGTTTAAAAATCACTTGCTGAATTTACTTTTTATTGTATATATATATATATACAATAATTGATATGTATTTTAAAACGTGAAAAAGACACAATTCAAATCAATGAAATTCTACAATTCTAGTCCTCTATCTATTGAACTTGTGCATACTTACATGTAGTGAGGTTTAATAAAAATCTCAAAAATGTTTTTTTTTTTTTAGTTCAACATGTTGTTTGTTAAACCTCATAAAAAAACACTCTCTTAACGTTATAAAATTTCAGTCGGATTTTTTTTTTTAATAACCGAGTAAATCATGGGGTGATATTACATGTTAGTCCTAAAACATGTAAGAAAACCAATTTCATAAACTATGTAAAACGTCTACCATATGGTCCATATCCATAGCCAATACAAATACAAGCTGGATCGCAATCTACATATCATCTACCAATAGAGTGAATTTTGGACTACACCACTATGCTTTATTCAAAACAAAATCAATGTTAACAACATGATAGTTTTAAATTGTATGAAATCAATGTTGATTATATTGTATGAAATCCTAGTCAAATTTGTCCGTTTCTTATGGCTAGAAAGTAACCTTGGCTTATACTCTAGAATAATATAATTTTAAATTTGATTATGAAACTATAAACAACAGAATAACTGAACTAAGGGACAACAAAGTTAGAAAATGTCACTATAGTTTGTTTGTATAGAAGTAGAAATGGAGAATGGAGAATATTTTCATTTAAGCGCCCCAAAAAAGGAAGAATAGTTTAACTTTCATTAAAAAATTAACGGATGGCATGAAGCATATGAACTAGTGACCATATGCATGGTTACAATAAGAGACAAATATTCTTACAATTTAATTAAAAAAAGGCCATTGCCTACGTCAATATCATCTGTCTAATTCACGGAAAAAACTTGGCAAGCTAGAGAGAGTTAAAGATCTTTTGTTTTTTTGGTTGGATAAGAAAACAGAAGAATTCTTTTCTTTTACAAAATCTTGCTTTTATTCTAAAACAGTGAACACAATCTCTCTATATATACCGGTTTGTTTCTTCAATCAATCAGTCTCGTACACAATAGAGAGCGAGAGACAGGTTAGAGGCAAAAAAAAAAAAAAAAAGAGCAAGAAATTAACTCATTAAATATAAGTAATTTATTTAGCAGTTACTTGACAATCAAGAATGGGTTACTGCAATGGTAAATGGACGCCGGTAATTATTATGATTACGATTAATTCGGCGCTCGGTTTAGGTAATGCTCTTGTTAAAAAGGTACTCGATGGTGGTGTCAACCATATGGTTATCGCAACGTACCGGCTCGCTATTTCCACCATATTTTTGGCACCAATCGCATTTTTCTGGGAACGGTAAGTATAATACGATCCATTAATTTTGTTCTTAATATACACATATATATTTATTTGTAATAACATTATTCATTATTTGTTTCTTAGGACAACAAGACCGAGACTTACGCTCAACATCTTGGTTCAGCTTTTCTTCAGTGCTCTTGTTGGGTTCGTTCTTTCTTTAATCTGAGCCGAGAACTCCTAATAATTTGTAGGAATAATTAACAATTCTGATTAAAAAAATACTGAATATGCTAACTCACTCAAAGTTAAGAAGATTAATTAATTAAATACACTTTTTGTTTGGATATATATATTTTAGAATTTAAATATTAGTCTATTAAAGATATCCCAAAAATAAGGTAGATAGCATCACTAATAAAGTATCAGAAAAATAAATGATTTTATTTAGAATCATTTAAAAAAAAAATTGATACTAAATATATATAATAGTAATCGATTGGAATTTAAGATTTTGGATTTATGGTTTAATTTTTAAAATTTGGAATTTAAATTTAGACTATTTTGTTAAATTAAAAGAACCTAGACTCTGTTTTTTTTATATAAAGTTTACATTATTTTTTCATAATTTTTGTTGTAGTCGTATCCGAGTCTAACTAATTAATAGATTGTTTTTTTAAATTGTTATATACATATATATTTTTTTGTATTTTAGGGCAAGTTTGACCCAGTATTTCTTCTTACTGGGGCTATCGTACACATCGGCTACGTTAGCATGTGCTTTTATTAGCATGTCACCAGCGGTTACATTCGTTATGTCTCTAATATTCAGGTAATTTTTTGTTGCTCATGACATTAATATTAAGTGCATAATAATTTTTCGATCATAACCTAACACATGCAAGAAACTTAAATCCTTAAATCATTTATTTGGGCGTAGGGTAGAGAAGCTAAACATGAAAAGCAAAGCAGGTATAGGGATGGTGCTAGGCACTTTGATATGCATCGGAGGAGCTTTATTACTAACAATGTACAACGGTGTTCCCTTGACAAAAGTTCACAAACCAGAAACTCATCTATTGACGAACAATAAACCCGCAATGAAACCCGAGAACTGGATCATCGGGTGCGTGCTTCTCTTTGCGGGTAGTTGCTGTTTCGGGTCGTGGATGCTAATACAATCCAAGGTGAACGACAGATACCCTTGTCAATACTCAAGTACCGTCATACTATCTTTCTTCGGCACCATCCAGTGCGCCCTTTTAAGCCTCATCAAGTCCAGAGATATCAAGGCTTGGATCCTCACAGATAAACTCGATATCATGACCATTGTTTATGCAGTAAGTTTTTTTTTTCTTTTCTTTTCTTTTGTTATGAAAAGGATGGTATTGTATATATATTTGGCAGCCTAATTTTTGTCTACTTGGTTTTAAATCAATTTTTAGTGATATATATATGTTGAGACTTGGTGACAAAAAAGGGTCAGAATTTTTAACGAAAATGAATAGTAGTAAGATGTAGTGGTAAGAGATAACGCTACAAAAATAAAGATGATACGTTTCTGATACCGCTAAATTTTACCATTTTTAAAAATTGATATGAAATCAGTTTACCCTTACGGTTGTTATAGGGAGCGGTTGCACAAGGAATATGTACGGTGGGAACATCTTGGTGCATCAGAAAGAGAGGACCTATCTTTACTTCTGTTTTCACTCCCGTGGCGCTTATCTTCGCAGCCCTATTTGATTTTTCGATACTTCATCGTCAAATTTTTCTTGGAAGGTACGTCGAATTGCATACATATATATATATATATATATATGAATTTGAATGTGAATGTTCTTATATACGTGCAGCGTAATTGGATCTGGTATTGTAATCTTCGGACTATACATATTCTTGTTGGGAAAGGTCAGGCAAATGAAGGAAGAGTGTGCAAAGAAGTTACCTTCTCATTTTGGTGAAGAAGAAAGGGAAGCTGATGAACAATACAAAAAGGGTCATCTTATGGTTGTTCCAATGACGCCTTGATTTGGCTAGGCTTCTCTCTTTTGTCAGTCCTTTCGTACATTAGTTTGAAATTAATCAAATCAAACATACCAAATGCTTTAATCGCTACTGATTCGCAACAGCTAATCAAAGCTCTCAGTTCAATGATGATCAATCGAAAGAATTCTCCACGATATCTTAATTTTATCCTCTACCTTTAAAGAAAATTAATCTGCTTTGTATTTCGAGATGCTAATTTGTCGGCGTGCTCTCAGAAGAGTGTTTTAAGCTCAATCGTCGTACCGTCTTGTGTTTTAAATTAAAATCAGTATTTGCACACACATAAAAAGAGACTCTCTTGTCTGTTTGGTTGATCAATAAGGTTTCTTCTTTGAATAATTATATGTGCCTATTGCACACACATTTCGTGTTTATAAACTGATAGACCCGTGAATTACATGGCCTAGTCCAACGTGTCAACAAATAGCATCTTCTTTATTTCTATTGGGCTCACAAGTTGTTTAATGTACCTTTTTCTTTTTGGTTTTTGCTTTAGTTTAAGTTTGTACTGAAATATTTATACATTGATGTATGTGTTGGCAACTTGGTATATATATTTCTCATAATCTTTGATTAGCTATTGACTGTTTTTATAGTACGATTATTTTCATTCTAACTTATGCTGTTCTATATTTTAAATTAATTAGTTAACTAAAAGTTCATCTTTAATTTCAATGCTTAATCGCCGCACAACATTTGACGCTTAGTTCCTAAATCACTATGCTCTATTAGGAAAACAAGGCCGAAGCTAACCACAAGCATTTCGTGTCAGCTTTTCGTCAGTGCTCTTTTTGGGTAAGTTTCAGTTTCAAATTATTAACTCATAATTTATTTCAGTTAAGTCCTTTTTGTGTATAAGAATTCATCTATGTGTATATATATATATATATATATATATATATTCTTTTCAGGGCGAGTTTGATGCAATATTTCTATTTGCTTGGACTCACCTACACTTCTTCCACATTGGGATCTGCTTTCACAGCGACAATGCATGCCCTCCCTTTTATTATGGCTTTAATATTTCGGTACATTTATTATTAGTCACCATTTTTAACATTATTTTCAATTCCTCTATCTTATAATTTCAAGTCCACTCTCAAACTCAGTAAACAAATTTACAGGTTCGAAAACCTAAATATGAAAACGAAAGTTGGATACGGCGTCGTTCTTGTAACTATGATAAGCTTATGAGGAGCTTTACTGCTTTAGTTCTTACAATGTACCAAGGCATTCCATTAACAAACTCTCGATAACAAGCAACGAATTTAAACAATCTTTCAAGACATGCGAATTAGACCAAAGGTTGTATGCTTTTCAGTTTTTGGATGCTTATACAAGCCAAGGTCAACGTGAATTACCCTTGTCCATACTCGAGTACCGTTATTTTATCGCTTTTTGCGCCCTTCTTAGCTTGATGAAGACTAGAAATGTGGAAGATTGGATCCTCAAAGACAAACTTGGTGGATAATTTATAGCGGTACTTATATATAAAAAAAAGTTGTCCTCAATATATCTAGCTAGATAATTTAATTTGGTGGTCTGACTGACTAATTCATTCTAGGTTAGGGGGGCCGGGGTTAAAAAATTTCCATTGCGATTTTAATCATGCATGGTTGGCCGATGTAGACATATTTAGCAGCAAGAATATCCAACTTTTCAAAGGGTTCGGGGATTAGTTAGGGCTTTAGTTATATTTATGTGGATTCAAAATCATCCAACATTGATAATTTCTGCAATATCTATATATATATATATATATATATATATGTTTAGGGTGTGGTTGCACAAGGAATGTGTACGGTGTATCAAACAACGAAGGACCTGTCTTTATCATGAATTGGTTTTTAAAACAAGCTGTTCATATTATACAAAAAATTCATCGTTCCATTAATTTTCATGAATTGGTTTTTTAATATGGAACTCTAAAAGCAGCCCTTTACGAATATATATATTCCTGTGCATGTTGGACTGAAAGTTTGTACTTTTCTTTGTGTTGTTGCAGCGTTATTGGATCTATGGTTGTGATTGGTTTATACAATTATTATGGAGTAAGAGCAAAGAAATAGATGACTGTAAGAGCATAATGTTACCTACGAATATATATGGTGGAAGAAGAAAATCAAGAGGAAGGCCGTACAAATATTAACAAATTAGGCCATATTCTTGTTCTACGCCTCCAGATTTTAAAGGTATTTTTAAAACATGCTGCTTTGGATCGAAGAATTTCATCACGTGTGTTGCAATGTTTAACCTCTTATTTTCCGAGTGATTTATTCGAAATTTTTGATATTGTAAATTGTTTATATTAATGAACGTATCGATCGATTATGATTCATTCTATATCCTTTTACATAAAGAAAACATTCTAATAATTTTTCAAAAAAAAAAACATTCTAATAAACATATCAATAGACCTTTTTGTTTATTTCTTCGAATATCCAACTGGGGTGATGCCGTGATGGCTAGTATTTGAGATAAAAGAAAATATTTTGTTTTTCGGAATACAAGAAAAAGCTTTGCGAGATTCTTGTGAACTACCAACACCTATTTCTTTTCTTTTCTTCTTTTCAATTCTTCAAAACTGAATGAATAAATTTCAACATATATATGTTATATTAAGTCGACTTCTCCTGGATTGTGTGCATGGTACTATGACGTCTTTATATAATTATGAGAATCAGAAGACAACGGTCGAATATTCTTTTAACAAACAAAACAAAAAAACGGTCGAATATTCACAATTTATGATCTCTTTTCTTTATGAATACTCACTCTAAACGTTAACTATTAAATATGCTTTGAAGATATTTTGGCCTAGAATTTTAGACATAAGGCCTAGAATTTTAGACATAATCAGTTTAGAGTTGAATTAGTATTTCTTTTTAAATACTCATTTTTCCTTGGTCTCAATTGTTTTTTGAAAGAAGTTGTTATTATGCCTCTAGTAATAAAATCGATCTTCTTCTGTCCGTGAATATAGTCTTAACAGCTCTCAAAAAAATGTCTTAAAACATTGATAAACCATATAAATCCATATGTGTTTTAGTGATCTTTGAGTTACGTACTTATCTTTCTGCATTCAGACAAAATAAGTAACTAAAAGATCACTAAATTTTCGATTTTAAAGTTGAAGAAGAAGATGCTTCTCTGATTCTGCTGCTATCTAAAAGAACTTTACAAAGTTATGTATAGCATATTGTACATACACATATAATCAAGCCTCTAAATTACTTGTCACTGGTAGCAAAGGTAAAGAAAGAGAAGAATTTGATTTCAAAGGATCATAGGCCAGATGATGTTTAGTTACTGCAAAGAAGAAGAGTACTAGACGAAAAGCCCTTTTTAAAAAAAAAAAGAAAAAAAAAGAAAAAAAAGAAAAAAAAAGAAAAAAAAAGTACTAAAGTTTGATTGCCCTAAAAACAATAATTAATTAGGGTATGTTGTTGTAGCAGAAGATACCAAATCCGAGAAAGATAATTGATTTTGTTCATGATGGACACATTCATGATGGACACATAACTAGAGCATCATATCATATGTGTAAAATGAAAAAGGAAGTTTTCAAGATATATTTAATAAACCTTAATTACATGCATGATGCATGTATGCTTAGGGTTTTGGTTTCAATCAGATTTAGAATTGAATTAAGGGGTTTCTGTAAATACTTTTATTCTCTTATCTATACTAAATAAAAGGAACTGTTTGGGGCTCCTTAAGCTATCTACCTCAGCTTTTCAAACTACTCTAAAAATATGACACATCAGCAAAAAATAATAATACAAATTCCCACTTTAGATTTTTTTGAAATACACATAAAGTAAATAAATAGAATCAAAATTAATCTAGTTAAATACAAGAGTAAATAAAAATAAAATATTATTTTTTGAATCAATAAAATAAATATTATTTAAATCTATAGCATCAATATATACTCTTTTGTTTGTAATATAACAAATTAACAATAATGAAAATTTTCACTTTAGATTTTTTTGAAATACACATAAAATAAATAAATAGAACCATTAAATTAATATAGTTATTAGCAAAAACTAAATAAAACTATATATCATTTTAATCAATAAAATAAATATCATTTAAATCTGTAGCATTAATATATACTCATTTTTGTCACTAAAATTAATATAGTTACGAACAAAAGTAAATAAAATTAAAATATTATTTTTTGAATCAGTAAAATAAACATCATTTAAATTTATAGCATCAATATATACTTCTTTTGTTTGTAATAAAACAATAATAAAAAATTTTACTTTATATCTTTTGAAATACATATAAAATAAATAAATAAAACCACTAAGTTAATATAGTTATTAGGAATAAGTAAATAAAACTAAATATCATTTTCGAAATCAGTAAAATAAATATCATTTAAATCTGTAGCATTAATATATACTCATTTTTGTAATATAGTGAATATATTGGACAAGAAATTGCTCTAAAAAACTTAAATAATAGTTAATAGAAACAAGATTACAAAATAATAATTTCTAAAATAAAATTTAAAACATTTACAAATTATAAAAATCTAAAACATTCACCTTTTAGAAACATAAAGATTAAACATCATAGTACGTTAGATTTATGACAACCAACCAACAAGACAACATAAATTATAGGAAGCTTTTCAAAGCATCTATCTATATGAAGATTTCGATCATCGTTACTATTTACATTGCAGAAAATGATAGACAAAAGAAGAATTTCATGCACTGATATTTATTCAATGTGTGTCTTAGTTGGCTTAAGGTAGTCAAGTTACTACAAGCGATACATGTCAGCGCATGAGTTAAACAGTTTATAAAAAAAAACTTAAGTTTTAGATGACAGTTAATTTTTTTATATATCAAGTTAGTAAATTTTTAAATTAAATAATAATGCATTTTTGAAAAAATAACATACACATTTTTATGTAGAAGAAAATGTCTAAAAAAATCTCTAATTATCCACATCAACAAAAT